TATTTATATTTATATTTATATTTATATTTATATTTATATTTATATTTATATTTATATTTATATTTATCTATATAAATATATACTATATATTTATATTTATATTTATATATGTATATAAATAAATAAATATTTATATTTATATCTATATATCTGTATATAAATAAATATATTTATATATATATGTATATAAATATATATCTATATAATAAATAAATAAATAAATAATTATATGCTGTATAAATAACAACTAAACAAAAAGAGAAGAACAAAGACCTCCTGCTGCTGCCGCTGCTCCCGCTGTTGCCGCTGCTGCCGCTGTTGCCGCTGCTGCTGTTGCTGCTGCTGCTGTTGCTGCAGGTGGTGCTGCTGGTACTAATTCTGCTGCTGCTGCTGTTGCTGTGTTTGTTACAACAGCAGCAGCAGCAGATGGCGGTTGGTTACTTTGTGCTGCATCAATTGCTGAATCTGCTGCTGCTTGTGCTGCTGCATTTGCTGCTGCTGCTGCTGCTGCTGCTACAGCAGCAGCAGCAGCAGCAAATGCAGCAACAGCAGCATATATTATTAGTGTGTACATATTTAGGTGCCGCAGCAAGCAGGATCTGCCTTGAATCCTTGAGGTGCATAAGCGCAACTATTGCTGCACCTATTACTGCTGCTGCTGCTGCTGCTGCTGCTGCTGCTGCTGCTGCAGCTCGTAAGCTTATGCCCGAAGCAGAAGACACCAAACCCTAATCCAAGAGAAACAGCAAAGAAAAGAAAAACATTAAAAGTCATGACTACTAACATTAATAAATAATCATAACAATATATAGCTGTATATACACCTGAATATAATATACGTATATATATAGGTACTGCTGCTGCAGCAGCAGCAGCAGCAGCAGCACCATGATGATGTCCTGAATTTTTTACTCCTGATGGTGATGATGATGGTGGTGGACATGATGATGATCCTGCTGCTGCTGCTGCTGCTGCTGCTCTTGCTGCTGCTGCTGCTGCTGCTCCTGCCCAATTATCTATACGCTGGCGTAATACTTTTAAATATACAGAAAAACAACCCAAGAGAAACCAAGTTGCTGCAGATAACCAAAAAAATACCTCCTGAATAAATACACAAACCCTAAACCCTAAACCCTAAACCCTAAACCCTAAACCCTAAACCCTAAACCCTAAATTTTATGAATTTTTTTTATATATAAAAAAAGAATAAAAATAAAAACCCCAATTGTTGGTATTTAATGCAAACATAAAGACTACTAAAACCCTGAAAAAAATAACAGGAATTATACCTCCCTCTAATTAGGGTTTAGGGTTTAGGGTTTAACGGTTTAGGGTTTAGGGTTTAGGGTTTACGTTGGTGGTTTCCCATGATCTGAATAAAATAATTGTATGCGTAGATGTCTGGAAGGACATGGGCATAACACCGCAGCAGGAACTCTTATTCCCTTCTGCTGCTGTATGTGCTGCTGCTGCTGCTGCTGCTGCTCCTTCTTCTCCTATTGCTGCTCTCTTCTTGCAACAACCACCTGCTGATGGTGCTGCTGCTGCTGCATCGCCTCCTGCTGCTTTCTTCTTGCAGCAACCACCACCACCTCCTCCTGCTGCTGCTGGTGGGGCTGCTGCTACTGGTGTTGCTGATTCTGCTGCTTCTGCTGCTCCTGCTGCTGCTCTCTTCTTGCAGCAACCACCGCTGCCTCCTGCTGCTGCTGGTGCTTCTGGTGGTGGTGGTGGCGGTGCTGCTGCTGCTGCTGCTGCTGCTGCTGCCTTCTCCTTGCAACAGCGACAGCCGTTGTCTTCTGCTGCAGCAGCAGCTCCTGTTGCTGCTGCGTCTCCTGTTGCTGTTGCTCCTGTTGTTACTCCTGTGCTGTTTGCTGTTGCGCCTTCTGCTGCTGCTGCTGCTGCTGCAGCAGCTGCAGCAGCTGCTGCAGCCTTCTTGCAGCACGCACATGCACTCTTGTCATCAGCAGCCTCAGCAGCAGGCGCTGCTGCTGTTGTTTTTGCTGCTGCTTCTGTTGCTGTTGCTTCTGTTGCTGTTGCCTCTGTTGTTGCTGGTCTTGCTGCTGCAGCAGAACCAGCAGGTGCTGCTGCTGTGTCCATTGCAGCAGCATCAGCAGCAGATGATTCTGCCTCCTCATCTGCTGCTGCTAGCAGCAACTTGCTGCAGCAGCAGCAGCATGTTGCAGCGAGGAAGAAGGCAGTAACTGCTCTAGCCCTCATCTTCTAGATGAGGGTTTAGGGTTTAGGGTTTAGGGTTTTCTTCCCCCCAACAGCGACACTGCAGCTGTCCTTCGGGGTTTAGGGAAGCACCTGTTTGTACTAAACAGTAAACCCTAAACCCTAAACCCTAAGTCCTAAACCTTCGAGCCCTGAACCTGAGGAAGACGCAAACCCTGGACCCTAGACCCTAAACCCTAGCGGACACGGGAGGGAGGGTGTGGGGCCGCAGTGGTGCCCCCGTGGGAATTGTGAAACCCTAAACCCTAGGGAGACGAGTTTGGTATGAATATATAATACAAATCTGTAAACCCTAAACCCTAAACCCTAAACATCAAACCCTAGATAGACCGTAAGGAGGGGTCCGGAGGTGGGCCGGGTAATGGAAGACAAGGAGACAACGAGGTAGGAGGGAAGAAGACCCCCTAATTGTACAAGAATCATTAGGGTTTAGGGTTTGTGAATTAGGGTTTAGGGTTTAGGGTTTAGGGTTTAGGGTTTTATTTGGTGTGGCGACCGCGAGACAGTGTGCAGGAAGCGTATGGGGGTATCGAGTCCTTTATGTTAGAGGTGTATAATAGACAAAAAAAGGGGCAACAAGGAGAAGAAGTTTTTTATTTTTATTTATAAGAAAAAGGGAAGAAAATCGTCTAATTAGAGGTCAGTCACAGCTGTCTATTGTCTGCCGAGGGTTTAGGGTTTAGGGTTTAGGGTTTTGTTGTCGCCCTGCCCGCTGCACCGACGCAGTGTACTGACCACTTTTTTTATTCCTGCATTTAACCAAACCCTTTTCCCTGTCAAGAAAGAGTGTTTAAGGGTTTGTGCTTTGCGACGAGGGTTTAGAGTGTAAGGTGTGGGGTTTTAGGGTTTAGGGTTTAGGCAATAGGGTTGCTGGCACTGGGGGCCTCGCGATCGACGGGCGGCGCTGGCTGTTGAGCCTGGGGTTTAGGGTTTAGGGTTTAGGGATTAGGGTTTATGGTTCCTGGAAGTGCTTTCGTCGGTTTAATTTTTCTCTTTTTTTTTCCTTGGATTCTTTTTACGTCCTCAAGTGCAAACCCTAAACCCTAAACCCTAAACCCTCGCTGGAGCCCTCGCTCCCTTGTCCCCCCATCTGGTTAAGGTGGCTGCGGCGGATGTGAGACGGCACTAGAGACGGGGAAAACCCTAAACCCTAGGGTTCGAGTTCTAAACCCTAAACCCTTCATGACAATTGAGTTATAAAACCCTGACCTCTTATCAGGAAGCAGCGCATTGAGTCATCAGCAGCAGCAGCAGCAGCAGCAACAGCAGCAGCGGCACCTGCAGCAACAGCAGCAACAGCTACAACAGGAGTATTTCTATCATCATATAAGGGTTGACGTACGGTGACACAGACCATCAGAAGCAGCAGAAGCAGCAGCAGCAGCAGCGGCAGCAGCAGCAGCAGCTGCAGCAGCAGAAGATGAGGCACCCTATTGCTGCTGTCTCCTCCTGTCTCCTCTTAACTTCTGTCTCCTTTGTCTTTGCTGCAACAGACAACAAATCAGAGCTAGTAGAGGCTCCCTTACCAGGAGGTAATCTATGAGGGTTTAGGGTTTAGGGTTTAGGGTTTGACAATCTCGACAGTTTTAGTGGACCAAGGGTTTAGGGTTTACTATAAAAAGTTAAGAACCTTCCAAGCACGAGGGCCCGGGCACAGCACTTTCTAGGGTTTAGGGTTTAGGGTTTAGGGTTTGGCATGATTTGACGTTTGATAGAAGGGTTTGTCTTTGCTCCTCAAGGATATATGAGTCTGAAGAGTGTTTAGGGTTTAGGGTTTAGGGTTTAGGGTTTAGGGTTTATGTGTGTATATCTTTTCTTCTGTAATATCTTTTTACACCATTTAAGGGTTTAGTGTTTTAGGGTTTATATACTGTGTGGCTTCTTACGTATATCTTTGTCTTTTTTCAAAATTAGGGTTTAGGGTTTAGGGTTTAGGGTTTAGGGTTTGTGTGTACAGAATCCCCATTGGCGGTTTTCTCCTCTTACAGAGGCGCACCAGCCAGTAAACCCCGCGAGGATTTGCTGCAATGGGAGAGCAAAGCAGCAGCAGAGCTGCAGCCAGTTCATGATTTGCTGCAGCAGCTGCAGCAGCAGGACAGAGAGTTGCGTCAGCAGCAGAAGCAGCAGCAGAAGCATCCAAGAAGACACAGAAGAGAGCAGCAGGATTATGAGAGGGATTTGCCCAATACTCAGCAGCAAGAACAGCAGCAGGAACAGCAGCAGCAGCAGCAGCAGCAACCAGAGGAACAGCAGCAGCAGCAAGAAGACCAACAGCAGCAGGAAGACCAGCAGCAGCAGCAGCAGCAGCAGCAGCAGCAGCAAGGAATAACTCTTGCCGAGGCGCTGCTGCGCAGCGCTGCGCTCTCCGCCGAATTTCAGAAATTGCGAGTCGATCGGCAACTCCTTAGAGACGACCCTGAGCTAGAGGCCACGGCGGACACGTAAACCCTAAACCCTAAACCCTAAACCCTAAACCCTAATTTTGAAAGAATGGGGTAGTGAACCCTAATTCTTGCTATTCTTAATCTGTCTAAACCCTAATTCTAATAAGAACATTACTAAACCCTAATTCTTGAATATTCCTATTTGTAAACCCTAACTATAAACCCTAATATAGACCCCCAACCCTAAACCCTAATTCTGAACTCCTGAACATTAAACCTCTACTTAGGGTTTAGGGTTTAGGGTTTATATATATATATATATA